ACAATGTACATGTCAAAATGATCATAGACACTGGGGCATCAATTAACATTATTGACGAAAATACATTCGCCAATATCAACAAATACAAAAGTATCTCATTAAAACGAACACGTACTAAACTCTTTGCGTATGGTTCCAAACAACAATTACCAGTGATTGGGACATTCGAAGCCACAATCGAGACAAAAAAACGAATGACTATCTCTACTATTCATGTAGTCAGAGGCAATTATGGCTCACTGTTAAGTTATCAAACGGCTACAGAACTAAACCTTATAAAAGTAAATGTCAACAATGTCAAAGTCACCGGTAATGACAAAATTGAACAATGTCACGACTCTCGAAAAGATAAAATGGACAAAAAATTTCCCCATTTGTTTCATGGAATTGGAAAATTACACAATTTTGAGGCAAAGTTGCATATTGATTCTTCTGTACCCCCTGTAGCACAACCAGCACGTCGAATTCCATTTTATTTACGAAGAAAAGTTTCTGCTGCTCTTAAACAACTGGAAAAGGATGACATAATTGAGAAAGTTGAGGGGCCCACACCATGGATTTCGCCTCTGGTTGTTATTCCCAAAAATGACGGAACTGTGCGCCTCTGCGTTGACATGAGGCGTGCAAACTGTGCTATCCAGAGAGAGCGACACCCATGTCCCACGGTTGATGATCTTATACATGCAATGAATGGTGCCAAGGTATTCTCCAAACTAGACTTGCGTTCGGGATATCATCAGTTGTTGTTAGCAGAGGAAAGCAGATATATTACCACCTTTGTGACACATAAAGGATTACGTAGATATAAAAGGCTTAATTTTGGAACTAATTCAGCTAGTGAACTATTCCAGAAAGTTATCCACGATCAAATTCATGACATACCTGGTGCTATCAATATAAGTGATGATGTCATAATCTATAGGAAATCTCAACAAGAACACGATACCGCTCTTCACAATGTTTGTCAGCGCTTTACCAAAGTTGGTCTAACTTTGAACAACGAAAAATGCCAATTCAGTCAAACCAAATTGACATTTTTTGGTATGGTTTTCTCGGCAGAAGGAATTTCTGCGGATCCTCATAAAGTTTCAGCAATCAAGAATGCATCACCACCAAGCTCTGTTAAGGATGTTCGTAGTTTTCTAGGAATGGCCACCTACTGTGCCAAATTTATACCCAACTTCAGTCACTTGAGTGAACCTCTTCGTAAGTTAACCATGAAAAGTGCTCAATTCCGTTGGACAAGATGTGAACAAACTGCATTTGATAACATTAAAAATGCTTTGACCAGTGATACAGTAATGGCTTACTTTGACCAAACAAAACCAACTGAATTAATCACAGATGCATCGCCATGGGGGTTATCTGCAATACTTGCTCAAAATTCAACACAACATGATGATCGCCGAATTGTGGCTTATGTTAGTCGGTCGTTATCTGAGGTAGAGAGAAAATATTCACAAACAGAACGCGAGGCACTCGCTATTGTTTGGGCTATGGAACGGTTGCAGATATATTTACGTGGTGGTAAGTTTACTTTATACACCGATTGCAAGCCCATTGAACTAATCCTAGGAAACCCGAAGTCCAAACCCCTGCACGCATAGAACGCTGGAACTTAAGAATTCAGGACTTTGATTTTGATATAATGTACACTAAAGGCAGTGATAATCCCTCCGATTTTTTATCCCGCCACCCCTGTCAAGAAACAGATAACAAACATGAAATGTCAGCAGAACAATATGTAAATTTCCTCACCATGCATGCAGTTCCAAAAGCGATGACTATACAGGAAATACAAGAAGCTACTAAACACGATAAAACTTTACAACTGCTTACTGAAATTATTCGCAAGCAAGCATGGGGCTCCATAAAAGACTTGCCAACAACTGGAGAAGACGTAAGTGAATTGAATCTGTTTGCAAAGGTAAGAGATGAACTAACAATTAATGAACAGTTGGGTATTATTCTGAGAGGAACTCGTATTATTATGCCTTGTTCACTTCGCGAAAGAGCTATACGACTTGCGCATGAAGGCCATCAAGGGTTGGCAAAAACAAAACAACTGATTCGGGAAAAAATTTGGTTCCCTAGAATAGATAAAGATGTTGAAACATTGATTCGTGGTTGCATACCTTGTCAGGCCAATGGCACAGCAAATCACCCTGCCCCATTAAAGATGACCGAGTTACCCCCTAAGCCATGGCACACGGTCCATGTTGATTTTTGTGGACCATTTCCAACAGGGGAATATACTTTAGTTGTCATCGACGCTTACTCCCGCTTCCCAGAGGTTGAAATTGTGAAGTCTACATCAGCCACCTCAACCATATCTAAGCTCGAAAGAATATTTGCAACCCATGGACTGCCAAACATACTAAAAAGTGATAATGGCCCTCCCTTTCAAAGTAATGAATTTAAACAGTTCATGACAGAAAATGGTATAAAACATCAAAGAATCACACCATTATGGCCAAAAGCCAACTCTGAAGCAGAGAATTTTATGAAACCAATGGAGAAAGCTATTCGTGCAGCTCACATTGAGAAAAAAAATTGGCGGAAAGAATTGTACCACTTTTTATTGAACTATCGAGCTACCCCACACACAACAACAAAGTTCGCGCCAGCTGAACTTTTATTCAATCGAGAAATTAACACCAAATTACCAAGTAAAATTATCAACCAAAACACCAAGATTGATCAACAAGTTCGAGCAAACGATGAAAAGGGTAAAAGAAACATGAAAAGAAATGCAGACAAGTCAGCCAATGCCAAAGAGGTTGACATTAAGGTTGGTGATACAGTATTGGTCCGTCAGACAAAAAAGAATAAATGGTCAACACGGTTTGATCCTAAACCATATTGTGTAACGCGGGTGAAAGGAACAATGATAACAGCTACTCGTCCAGGACATTATATCACAAGAAACATTTCATTTTTCAAGAAAGTGCTACAACAAGAGATTCAACACAACTCTGAGGATGCAAGCGATGAGGAAGATTACAGTAAACTTGATAATAACCTCCCTGACACAAACATTGAGGAGAACAATGAACTTGCTGAGAGACGGTATCCTGCGAGAGACACAAGACCTATCAATAGATATGGTCAAAACATATATAATGCTTAGTAATTTTAATAATTCGATTTTATAATACCATTGACATTTTGTTAGGACTTCAGTGACAATTCAAAGTAAGGGAGGGATGCAGTGATCACATGATAGACATGTGATACAATAACATTTATATATAGTTTTAGGGTGTGTTCACATGAGTGATTGATTGAGCGTTGAATAAATAAGTACAACATTACAATATACTTGCTGACCTGCGTATGTTGTCGTCTATAATTTCAGATTTTTTATCATATTATAAAATTAACATCTAAGTATTCGATGATAATTGAATGACAGTTTCTATACGTCTATAAATAGAGTTATTCTAAAGTTGGCAAAAGATCGATTCGAAAAGTAGTTGTCACTTTTTCGTCTTCCGAAATTAATTTCAATCAAGATAATCACTGCTGCCTTATTGAATACTTCAAAACTTAGTCTAGCAGTTTTACAAAGTATAAATACAATACCATAAAAAGCACCAAAACGAGGTCAGGCTAATTGTTAAAGTACTAGCATATAAACTTCGATATTTAAGTGTTAGAAATATCGAAGTTTATGCTTGTTAGCAACTATATATATAGCCTGACTATAAGCCCCGTTTACAAGAGCAAATTTTATTTGACAAATTTCATATGTCATGAGATATTTTGCTCGTGTAGATGATAAATTTGTGACAAATTTATTGTGACAAATGCATTTGAACAAAAGCTAGCATGCTAGCTTTTGATCAAATGAAATTTGTCAAATAAAATTTGATCGTGTAAACGGGGCTTAACCTCATTTTGGTGCTTTTTTGCACATTTCAAAGGGCTATGTATAATTTCGCTTGCATGGACGGTTTACAGTATTAAACTTTTACACTTTGCCTTAAATAACAGTCTCTGATGAAAAATTGTCTATTAATAGTCTTGTGATGCATGAAATATAGAGTATAGTTTTCGAAACGGTCAATAAGCTAGTATAATTCGTATATGTGTGGGTGTGACTGACAGTTAAGCGAAGGACGCAGCTCAACGAATCGAAGGTTTTCTAAGCACATGCATGCAGCTACGGTGGAAGGATCAGTTAGGAGCAAATCTCAACTCACACTGTTAACATTCCTGCAGTGCATGGAGGGAAACCCCTGACTTTCGGTAGAGCGTTGACTGACTCTTTTCACATATTTGTGTCATGAGTCCGCTGCGAGAATCGAACCCATGATTTCAGAGGCGAAAAGCGCTAGCTCTAATAACACCATTGCCGTTATGTATGCTAAACTCCCTAAATTGCATGGAGATAGTGCATTTGTTAGACCTCAATATCTGCCTTCAAAAAAATTCCAAGACTAAGTGAAGGTTCTTCTAAGTTAGTAAAATATGATGTACAATTTTAACAAAAGGTATTTAATATAGAACGACCCCGCTCAACCCACCTCTGCTTTTTCGCCTTAACATGTGAGGTACACAGCATTTTTCACCATTTCTGCATTCTCCTGGATTCGAAGGGACCAAAGAAGCGTTGTGGCAATACATTCGTGTCGTACAGAAACCGTAATTCTCCATTTCACCATCAGTTGAACTATAGCATCTTGTATTGCTGGAGTTTGCAAACGATAAACGACACGAAATGAATAGCACCATAAACCAGAATTTACCATGCATATTGCTTTTTCTAGCTGTATATCCTTACTTAGCACCTTTGATATACAGCCAAAGTTTGCGATTTATATTCACATTCTTGTTTTTATATAATTGTCTGAATAATTTGCATTTCTCATACAATATTATTGCATTATGAACGCTCTGTTGAGTCTGAAGACTTTTTGATGCTTTACAAAAGCGCAATTAAAAGGTTTATTATCACAATTAAGCAAATATACTGTACATGGTGCTAAAAAAAGTGACCCTTTAGAAATCACCCTTTTGTTGTAAACACCCAAACTTCATTACCTCTGGGAGTTTAGAACGCATTGTAATCGTGCGAGCATATTAAAACTGCGTAAATTGTACATGAAAGTTGTAATTGAAAATTAAAACGACTTAGAAATTACTCCCGTCAGTTCGATTACTGAATGGTTCAACTGACTACAGAGCAAAGAGTTTAACGCGTTCCGTTAAATTAATCAGCAAATCATATTCATATATGTTGAACGATACCAAAAAACTTTTAAATAACCAGTGTATATGGGCATAAAATGCGATTCAATTGTGTTTACGTACCCATGGGTTTAATATAGGACTCAGGCATTCAAATTATTACAATAAGGTGGATTTCTGAAGGACTTTTTCAGACACCCTGTGTAGCGGTGTGCCATGCAAAATCCTCGGTTTATTACGCACTAGAGATGTCGGATTTGTCTACATCCGAAACATGTTTGACGTATACAGTTCTACACAAAATGCGAATGTGTAGTCACCATTCAAGTTAACGAAAATATAACCTTAAAATATGCTTAAGAGACTCTAGATTTCGAATTGGCTACGGAACTCCCCCGAGTTTATCTGGCTTGCCCCCCTCCCGCACCCAACCAAACCATTATTCTGCCACCAATGCAAATTAAGAGTCTTTCATAATTTACAACTTTTAACGTTAAAAATCTTTTCAGATAAAAAATCCTCCCCCATCTCAATCAAACACCTGATGCGTCGCGATCGACAGTCTTTGTATCTGCAGTCCTAAGTTTTCCTTTAAAAAAACCTGGGTTCCACTACCGGATTCTTGTTACTCTTTACATATGCGGTATATAGAGACATAAACCACCGTACAAACAGCTCCTTACTTGTGAGTTTTGTCTATTTATTATTTCTAAAACTATAATCAATCATATTTAATTTATTTTTACATAATTAATAAATAAATTATCTATTAAATAATTCTTTGATAAAAATCTACAGTCCGTTAGTGACTTTGAAATTTGTACTCTTGTCAATGATTGCCGTATGCTGCATGCTAACGATGTCGATCCCATCATCAAAGACGCCGATTTATCTGCAAAACATGAACAAAAAACATGGTCAATTCACATCAGGCCCTGCATCTTGGTAACGTCAATTTTCTGACGCGCAAGATATGGTAAATGCACAGACGCCGATATTTTTCTCTCCGTATACTTATCACATAACATATAACTGTGTCCGAATTAAATAGAATGATTTGGAAGAACGACTTGAACTGAAAGACGCCCCTTTGAAAACAAAAAAATTCTTCATGCAAAGCAATAATTTGTGGTCCTAGGGATATCTTCAACCGCGCTGTCATTATCATTTTTAATACAAACATGAAATGCTTGTTGCGACGTTGAAGGGGTTACATAAAATCTGTCTCATATAGCAGTCAATCTTTCACATTTTCCCGAACTTAGCCGTTTGTAAGGTTATTTTAAAAGGCATCAAATTTTTGCAGTAATCACGTTCCTTAGCTCTCAATCTTGAGCTGAAATTGAGACCGCGTCGTCGTGTTTGTCTCGTCGTCTTTTCTAAATTTGTCTAATAAGCTAATTCAGAGTTCCACTATACGCATCCAAATGATGCGTTGTGAGTTGGGATAAACCTTAGCGCCCAGCTGCAAGTAAGGATATGATTAGCAAACCCCCACTTTATGTACTAGATAAAACATGAGCAGCTGATCTGTATCTGATATACAAGTCTATCTGATGTACAAGTCTGTATCTGATGTACAAGGTGTCTTGTATATCAGATACAGATCGGATGCGAATGTTTTATCTAGTACTTAAAAAATTACCCATCTTCGAGTTCATTGGCGAAGTAATTTTAAAAATAAACATAGTCTAAGCCGAGAAAATCAAAGCTGAAGTTTATCTAAATCAGGACAAATCTTTATCGGATTTACAAACATTGATTAAACATTCATTTCTATTGTATTTTCCTCGTGAATTATTAATGAATTTCTTAAACTCACTTAGAGTATACATTCCTTTATTTAATTGAAAGTTAAAGCCTGGTTTCCATATGGTCGTAAAATAGAGTCACGATCTTTCTCAACGGCCAGTTTATAATAGTTTATACCTGCGTAAACCACATATAAGTCATAAGTATTCTCTATAGTTATAATAACTCCGCGTATTTTCAGTTTTAAAATGTTGCATTTCGGCTGATCGTGACTCAACAACCTCGATCCCAGGGTCCCCGTCGCACCAGAACCTTTATTAAACACGAGGACCCTGGGATCGAGGTTGGTGACTCAATCTTTACTCAATCGTTACGACCATATCGAAACCAGGCTTAAATTCACGTTGTCGCAACTTAAGTCGTTAATCGTGTATGTTACGACAAATGTTTCTAATACGACCCAGGTGGACCTACCTCTGGCTCTGTGCCTCTACCTCCGCCTCAGCGCGTTAGGTATACAACATTTTTCACCACTATTGCATTCTCCTGGATTCGAATCAACCAGAGAACCGTTGTAGCAATACAATCCTGTCGTACAGAAACCATAATTCTCCATTTCACCATCAGTTGAGCTGTAGCATCTTGTATTGCTGGAGTTCGCAGTTGAAAATAGATGACATGCCATTAATATTAATATGAGCCATAATTTCTTATAATACATCTTGTCTTCTCTATGATTCCGAGTTGTAACTGTACCGTGAGTGTCTAGATAATAAACATATTAATATCAGTGGCTCCGTCTACGAGATTTGGAGGAGGGGGGCAGGGTACCTTCAGAGAGTAGATTTAAATTTGGTCAATTGAACGCAAAATGAAATCCTGGCGGCGCTACTGATTAACAATTTTAAATTTAACCTTATGGCTTAAGCTGATGATATAATGACAAGTGCTCCAGTAAAATCAGGATCGGATTCTGCTGAGGCTGAGGTGGAAAGCATTCAGAATTGGTCAGAAGCAAATCAAATGACATTAAATCTTTCTAAAACGTGGGATATGGTTGTGCACTGTGGGTCCATGAAACCGTTACCGGCACCGATTGTAGGCATTGAACGAAAGAGCTGGTTGAAATTATTAGGTGTCACATTTCAGGAAAATCCATGTTGCTGGGATCTTCATATCGATGATCTTCTCTCGAAGGCCAGCGGGCGTATGTACATATTGAGAGTGTGTAGATGCTATGGTTACTCTGCAGATCAGCTAAGCAAATTATTCGATTCGCTAATCATGTCACTCTTTCTTTTACTATTGCATTGAAGTGTGGGGCTCTGCACTCCAAAAGAAATATTTGGATCGTATAGACAAGTTTTTCCAGCGGGCTTATCGTTATGGATATACGACAAAGAGTATTAAGATATCTGAAGTGATCGAGGAGAGAGACAGAAAATTATTTAGTAAAATCGTATCGAATCCAGAACATGCCCTACATGAATATTGCTTCCTGTGTGTAAACAAAGGATTTTAAGACAAAGGGAACATAACTTTATTTTACCTCAAATTAAAACGGAACGATTTAAACGATCCTTCATAAATAGATGTCTTTTTAACTATTTTTAACTTTCATATAATTAATTAGGATAAATAATAATTAGAAATTACTGTAATAATTAGGAATTTGACATTTGTAAAGTTGCACGTCTGTTGTGACTCTAGACAATAAAGACTTTAATAATAATAATAATAATAATAATAATAATAATAATAATAATAATAATAATAATAATAATAATAATAATAATAATAATATGCATTGGACAATTATCAATCTCGTACCCAGAGCCATCGTTGATGGCTCTGGGTACGAGATTGGACAATTATGGGATAAGGTTTTGCTGACATGATCTAATTAATTATTCAGACTGAGGTCAATGTTATCTACCAAGATTGACCGAGTTTTTATATGTATTTGAAAGGCAAGACTGAAGGCCGGTGAGAAAACTAACCTATTCAGAAACCCTAATAGATTTCAATAATGTCATATAGATTTCAATAATGAAAATGTTCCGGCCCACCGGGCTCCATTAGTGTTTGTTGAGGTCTCCCCCGTTCCACCTGAAACAAATCTTCCACCGTCTTTGATACTGTTTATTGGTCAGAATTAAACCTTTACTTTCTTTCCTAGATATAAACTTTGCCATTACCAAATTGCATGCAACCACATAGTATTACGAAGGCTGTTTCGCAGTGAAAGGCCTTGGTACGATCAGTTCATGCGAGGGTCAGTTTAAAGAGCCAGATTTAGCTAGCAATTTAACTCAATGGCAAGAAATTTTGGACATTTGCCTATTAAACCAGAGCTCGTTCCCAGTCCGCAGAAATTTCAGCGATAAATGGTTGCAAAACGCCAAAATCATGAACAAAACTGTATATCAAAGATTATTTTTGTTGCTTTTCCGAAATGTGGGAACGGATACATAATATATGTCCATAATTCTATCTATAAAGGTCAAAATTTGCCGGAAAATAAAGAATATGCTAGTGGCAAAATTGTTTCAAAACTTTGTAATCCTATAGAATAAATCCGTATGTTGTGACGCGAAATAGGCGCGCGGTCAGACAAAAAAGCGGCATACCTCAATCGGAGCATGCGTAGTCTCAAATGTAGGAGCAAATTCAGAATCGCTTCACTGTGACGAGCATTTCGATACTAAATTATTGTTGTTTCCTTCTAAATATCTGGTGGCAAAATGCGTATTTGTTCAATCAAGTCTGCATGTAAACACGGGCGCTATCTGCGCATTTGGTCGTTCTTATATTGCCTGGTTTTAAAGAATTCTCGCTCAACTGGACGTATAATTAGCACATCATGATCATCAAGCCTAAACCAAAGATAAACGATTGCGCAGCATATTCCAGTTGAGTTCTACAGTCAATTAAAGGATGCTAACGTTGTTTGTTGTTGTATATATGGAATCTCGCAAAGGCCAACACTACAGACCGCTGTGGGAGATCTGGCCCACATGTATCGCATTTCTTGATATAGCAGTATTTGCATTTTATTATATATTCAGTAAAAAATCATTAATAATTCGCGAGGAAAATATACAAAAGAAATGAATGTTTGATCAGTGTTTGTAAATCGGATAAAGATTTGTCCTGATTTACACAAACTTCAACTTTGATTTTCTCGGCTTAGACAATGTTTATTTTTAAAATTACTTCGCCAATGAACTCATAAGATGGGTCATTTTTTAAGTACGATAAAACATTCGCATCCGATCTGTATCTGATATTAGTACAAACTCTCGCCTTCGGCTCGAGTTTGTATATCAGATACAGATCGGCTGCTCGTGTTTTATCTAGTACGTATATCTCTCCATGCGTGTATATGGACTTTATATTTATGTTTATATCAATTCAGGCCTAAAAATGATCTAAATTTGAAATGCTTGTCTATGTTTGATATGCGCATTAGAGTATATCACTGCATATGTCCTACTTATATGGGCAATTTATTGGCGGCATTTGGATAAATATCCTGATTGTTTTGGGTATCTATAGCTCACTTGAACTAATGTTTTATATAATATCATTTTCGAGTGTAAATTTTATACATTTATTAGACCAAACGAGGAGTAACCAACTGAGCTACACAGTCGAGTTATCGAGCAGTCTATATAACCGCAAATTCATGTACATAATACTACTAATTAAGGTAATTCTCTATATCACCAACCTTCAACGAATGTCTTTGGAAAGTTTAGTTATTTCTTATCCGGCATAAAATGACTGTTTCAGTCGAGATGCAGTTAATTATAGTAGCATCACCCACTAGGTATACAAGAACTTGTGGTTAGAGCTCGACACTGGACTCTGTAGCACTCAGTTGGTTAGAGCGCTGCACCGGAATCGCAAGGCCGCTGCATGGTTCGATATAGTTGCATTTATCGCAGCTGTTCCTGGTTAGGTCTAAAATTGTATATAACTTTCCGCTCGAAATTTTTATCTACAAAAGACTCTTCAACAGTCAATTGCTTCCCCATTTGATCTTATCGCTTTTTGTCGATTTAAAACCACCCTTCTAAAACAACAGGCAACATTTGAATTTCCCAATGATCCATTCTCCGTTGATTATAGAATGTTTTTTCAGGCAATATTTTTGCATGACCTTGGTCGTCATTTTAATTGTACACGGCATCTTTGCACAAATTAAGGTCCATACACACCGGACGCGATTCGACAACGCGACGCGATTTTTCGATTTTCACTGAACGATAACTTTGATCCTAGTTTAAATTTTCCAAATATTTAGAAACGTTATAACATTTTGAGTTATTTGGTCTTGATATCTTTTAAAATTTGCTCTCATTGGCTGTTTATTAACTTTCAAAAACTAAAAAATCGCGCCGCGTTGCCGAATCGCGTCCGGTGTGTCTGGATATAGTTTTACCTGCTTGCAGCCTGAATTTGTAAATCTCGCTTTAGAAATTTCGGGCTCTGAACTTGCTAGTGAAATGTAAACCCCTTCAAAGACTTTGATGCAAAGCAGAAGATTGATCCTACATTGCATATGTATCCTTGTCCACTTGAGTTAATTAAACAATATGATGCAACTGACACTCACTGTAAACCGTTTTCAAACACACAATTTTATTTAAAAGGTTCTCATGGCAAATCTTCAAAGTCTTTAATTATATAAGGCGCGGCACTGTGATCACAGGAGGCGCAAATTTCAACCGCCCACTCGCTGGTGGCGTAAACGAACGTTTATATATATATTTGGCGCCTTAAAATGTGAATTGGATCCATTCAATAAGTCATAACTATATATACAGCTATTTCAATTAAGGTTGTCCCCGAGCAAAGCGGAAAAGTCGAATACGAGCGCGAAAGCTTGCTGGGAATCGCAAAGAAATTAATGAATTTTTTAAGTGATTCCCAGCAAGCCATATATATATATATAAGCGATATAAAAACGGCTCACACGTTTTCTCTCCGCCAACTCAGTTTTATGGACTTAAACGAATCGAGCTTTCTGGTCCTTTGCAATTGAAAGCTATCGATCATGACGATATAGCTTATGGATGAAGAGGGATAAAACTTGTATGAAGCCAAAGGGAATTTGTCAAGAAAAAATGCTTATCTGTAATCTCATTTAACTGAACCAATCAATATATTTCAGCGCGATTAATTTAATAACATTTATTAACTGATTAATGTCCACTAAATTCGATATATGGTAGTGCATCAGCCACTGCACTAGCTGGCATTAGACCTGTCCGTTGAATCTGAAGTTCCATACCCTGCTTGAGCCAACTTAATAGTTAATGGTGACAATTTTGATAATGGTAATATGTTATCATATTCCCATGACAGAGTCCAAGTTGTCCAACCTAGTTACGAGAGTCCTAATTAAGACTAAGAATTTCATATATGATTGACCAACCTTTGAAATAATAATTAATCTGCTTATGACTTTTCCAACCAAGTTGTGAGACCACGTGAAATCACCAACGAAATGATGCAGTCAATGTATTCACTGACGCTGTGATATCGAACTCCCAACAGCCCGTGTACTTGTGCAATAATTGCCTTCAGAAATGCCACTAAATGTCTTGTATACATTCCAGAACTATACAATTTATCAATTTACGTCAGCAATTTGAAATTCTAATTTACTCTTTTGACATTAATTTGTAATTTTATGGTCAATTGATTCACTCGCAAGAGTTTTTCTTCTTCCAGATAAGTATGCCTATAATTGCCCTGGATTTGATAAGTATGCCTATAATTGACACTTGATGTATATGCAAAGAAAACCCATTGGCAATAATTATGTTGGAGACCAAACTAAAACAGATTTTTAGCCAAACCTAAGTTACCTAACGTTAGGAAATACACAAGTTCACAGGTTCATATTTGAAATATGTGTGCAAGCTGTGCTGTTGAATGTGTGGGCTGTTATTTGATTTTGGCTTATCGCTACGGCAACGGGTATCGATGACTTAGCTGTGCACGTGCAGTGTGCATGGGCCAGAAATATCGGAGGCAAGTGCCTTCAAAGCCTGCTTCACACTAGCAATTTTGTCGGAGATTTAAGTTGTATTTCTGGTGGATGAAAATGAATGAACTCGCACACAAAATTATAGAGTCGCTTTTCAGAAGTATGTCATTCATTCGATCATATTTGCCAGGAGTAGAATCGGCGTCGCCAGAATAGCTAGTGTGAACCAGGCAATAAATGTACGCCTACGAGCGTGAGAGTTCATGATACATGCATTTTTCAAAGTAATTACATCGATGACAAATAGATCTGAAATTAGAGGGCACTGAGAGACTGCGTACTATTACGCATTCAGTTTCCTCTGACCAGCAAAGCAAAACAAATTTTTGTTTTTCATCCAATTTTCAATCACGTTTAACCATAGAGGCATAGATATCTTATATACACTAGATAGCGCATCTCTTTTAATAAAATTGAAGCCAAGAATATTCCAGCGGTTACCCCCATTTGAATAGATGGCGGCCATGTTGGTAGTTCCCACTCGCTAATAAACCGGCTTAAAAAAACAACAATAACTTTCATCATTTGAATAGTTTAAAAATGTATTTGGAATAGGTTTAACTTAATGTTTAATTTCCCTGTTTAACTGGAAATAGAAAACATACGAATCTTCTCATTTTCATGGGAATATCCTGAGTCTGCAATCACGGCTTCAATTTTTGAGTTGCAGAATAATTAGATGCGCTATCTAGTGTATATAAGATATCTATGTGTTTAATTAACCGAAGTTTAATCAAATCCAATTGTCGAGGTCTACCCATTGAACTAAAAATAACTGGAACGCTACGTTCAAGCGGAAATTTGAAGCTAAATTCTACAAGGTCGTACACAGGCTTTAAAAGGCCCGTTTTAAGCTGAAAAGGCCCGTTTCCCTTTCGATTTGCATCCTGCCATGAAAACGTTCAAAACGGCATGCTTCGAGCGCCCCCTGCATTGTCTCGCGAGTAAATCGCGCAGTAGAAACACGCGTGGAAGTGCGTGTCTGGGAGTCAAAACTGGCTTCATTTGGCTTCATGGGAGTCAAATTTTGGCTTCAAAATTTGCATGCGCAGTTTACTGAACGTAGCGTTCCAGTTATTTTTAGTTCAATGGGTCTACCTCATGTTTCCTAGTATAGGCCAGGTGATCTCGTGTTCGTATTTTAGCCAATCAGCGCTCAGAAAGGGTTGTCCGAATAGAAATCCATTTTGATGTATTCAGTCAATTATATCTTTCGTTATTCTTTATGAAACTAGTTGAAATTTTGTAGTTATGTTTGCTTATGAGAACTATAGCTCTGACAAAAATATGGAATCGAAATAAAGTATATTACGGGAGATATTCAGTTGTTTTAATCATAAAATGGATTTCTTTTGACAACTAGTGCCAGTACTTTTCCGCGTATCAAGATCATCTGGGCCTATACATGAATGTTGCACTCCATAATTTCCATCTACAAAACCCTTCAACTATTATTATTCAATCGACGGTGAGATGTTAACAAAATATCGATATTTACCAATACCAAAGTATATATACATGAACTTGTGGTTAGAGCTTGACAACTGGCTTCTATTGCTCAGTTAGTTAGAGCTGCAGCAAAATTGCGGGACCGCAAGTTCAGTTCCTGCCATGGGACGTTATATTTGCATTTTTTGCAACTGTTCTTGGTTAGGTCTAATAGATGTATATCAAATTTACTATCGATAATTTCCATCTATAAATTCCTTCAACTATTATTCAACCGAGTGATATGCCAACAATATCTTGATATTTACTGAAATCAGAACACATGCACGGTAAATTTAAAGGAGTTGAATCAACTCTACATGTTATCTTGTCACCGTTTTTGGTGACAGAATATTGAGAATAACACTTTGAAGTTGATTCAGCTAGCTACTTGGAATTTACAGTCTAGGCTAGGAGTTGTATGCCTGCTGCTATACAGGGTGTATACTGAAAAAAACGCAACCCCGGAATTTCCTAAGTAATCATACAGAGGGCAAAGTTACTCAAATATGATTGGCTAATGAGGAGGGCATTTTTTCTTAATTCAGTCAAAATTACTTGTATCTGATTAGCTGAGACGCAAGCGCGGGAAGTTTCTTGTTTTAATTAAGGTTACAGAACACCTTTGAGTGTTAATTTTGCCTAAATTTTTTTTATTGGTTTCAATGAAAGCACTAGACTAGTTCTACTATCTGACCAAGTTTGAAAGAAAAATGTTGAAAACGCGCAGAGTGATTTAGTAAAATACATTTCGCTGCAATAAGAAAAACATTGAAAATGTAATATTCAAATTCAATTTTCTCCCGAAAATTTTACGGTAATTACTGATTTTCAAACGAGTTGTGCTCCTGCGGGTTTTAACCAATTTTTCTCAAATTTTCACAGGACATAGCTAAATACGTCAGTTTCAAAATTGTGTTCGGCTTTTGTTTAATTTTGGATATTTTAAAAATAAAGAGCAATTCACTCAAACAATTCAGAAATATATTGCAGTCGTCAAAGAAATCGCCATATAGATATCGTTTTTTAGAACAACCATTTTACTGTATAAAAATGATATTTTCATAAATATAACTTAAAACGAGCAGGAGCACAACTCAAAAGCGTAAAGGTACCGCGATTTAAGATTTTCCTGAATAATTCTTACATTATTTTATTGTTTGTTATAACATTTTACAACTTTACCATATTTTGCATGCACTGGAGAACATTTGGTGAAAATTTGATGAAAATCGGACTGATATTGAGCGCGCAGTAGCGATTTTCCGCAAAACGCCAAAAAGGGTGCCCTGTAACCTTAAATAGCACTGATTAAAAACAATGGCTTCTCGCTTTGTCGTCGCGGATAATGATGTTATTGAAGAATTAAAAACTTCTAGTGAAAACTTGAACACTAGAAAAAGTGCAAATTTATTGCCATTATTGGTTGGAGTATTTAAGAAATGGGCAGGCAGGGAAGCATTAAGAAACATCGGCGAAGACAATGGAGACATACGAGGTTCAAGAACTTGACAAGTTCACAATTAATTTACGAATAAATTTTGCCCTCTATGATTAACAAGTAATCGCATAGTTCCTCGTAAAATTAAGGTTCAATTTCACTTGTGTTTTCAAAGTTTCACAAGTGTACTTGTAAAGTTTCACACTGTACTTGTAAAATAAAAACTTATAAAGTGCATGTCATTAAATAAATGCATAAATTTTGCTTTATATGCACTCACATGTGCTGTAATTTTGACAGTTGTGCTATTTTAAATTCCCAGGCACCTAAAATCTTTTGTCCTTAAAACAAAGTCGATTTCTTGGGAAATTCTGAGGTTACGTTTTTTTTATGTACAGGGACCGGGTGTCCATAAAAACCGCAATGGAAATTCAACAGGCTGTCGTGCATCATAAACGTGGCTAAACAATTCAATTTTTACATAGGGCGAAAGAACAGTTATTTAGCTTTTCAATGATACCCTTTTTAAATTGTAAAGATGAGAAATGGCCACATATACTTGTCAAATGAAAATTGCAGGTCGAAATCATATTCTTCCACCATTGAAAATTGCATGGAAAACGAAACATAGGCAATTCCCAAGAAGGAATTAAAATTGAATGTTAACTGATTATCTAAAATGAGCTCAACTCGTCAATCTTCGTCTTAGTGAGACAATAAGGATTCCTTTTTTAATGAAACATGGTTCAATTAACCATGTAATGAACAGAGAACATTCGTAATCAAAAGTTTTACGAAACAAATAGCTTGTAGTAGACTCGCGTTGCTTTTGGATTGATTAACTTTGCATAATTAATGTTTTTCAATTGCCAACGGTGGAAGAATGTGATCTCGTCGACAGGCAATTTTTATATGACGAGTATGTGGCCATTTATCACTGATCGTTAGGACTTAAAAAGGTATTATAGGAAGGCTAAATAACAGCTCTTTCGTCCTATGTAAAAATTGAATTGTTTAGCCAAGTTTATGATGCACGACCGCCTGTTAAATTTCCATAGCGTTTTTTTAGACACTTTGTATATATCATAACGTTTGTACAATATAAGCCAACGAAACACACGATAATAAGCAATAAAACGGACAGCAAGGCGATGTATAATGGAGCTAGCGAGCATTGAAATCCCAAAATGCTTTATATACTGTTCTGGAACAGTAGAGCAATATCGAGGAATGATGTGTTATGGTGGTCATGGAGTGCATACACTGCCCCTACTGTGAAACAGCGGGTGTATAGGTATGAAAGGAGTGGGCTTACGTGGGATTTATATAATATGTTGCTATATGCCGCCATTTTGTTTTGTTTATACGTTGTCAGGCAGCTATTTTGTTTTGTTTAGATTTATTGTTTATACAGTAAAACCACGCTATCTATATAAGATTAGAATGTTAGGGTTTGTAATCCAAGTGATTATATACATTTTAAGACCTGACCAGGAACGACTGCGAAAAATGCAGCACAAGGTCCTCTTGTAGGAATCGAACCTACGGCCCCGCGATCACAGGGCCGTAGGTTCGATTCCTACCAGAGGACCTTATGCTGCATTTTTCGCAGTCGTTCCTGGTCAGGTCTTAAAATGTATATAATCACTTGGATTACAAACCCTAACATTCTAATATTAATTCCACAGCCGAACGAAACGAGTTCGAGATAGCAAAGGTTCGGGTAGCCGAATCTGTGTCCGAAATCACATAAATCAAATAATCAAAATTACTAAATAAAAATTAACATGGTCGTGGCTGATCGAATGGCCCATTGTAACGACTTGATTCAGTTTGTGTAATATACAACAAACACTGCCATTACAGTTTATTTAAGGGTGCAGCCCTTATTACATTCCTTTTTCCGTGCATGTTTAGGCAGCAAAATCACACATGTTGTAACTGGCGTCAGAGCTGCAGTGTTCGCGACCAAATGGAAACATGGAGAAAAGTCTTGTCGCGACACGCTGACAACAGTTCACTACAGTTACAACAGTGTCGTCGAGATAGACTTTAGAATCTTGACAACAGTTGCGACAGCTAGGCTAAAAACGTATTGTGAAGATTATTTTTAATGGAAATAGAAAAACGATCGCGTGGGGATGGGGGGCAAAAGTCCTCTTTTTAAAATTGCCGCCATCTGCTTGTGCGATCACTGGTCCTGACGAAATACTGAACTTGCGACAGTTTCACGACAGTTACAACCATATATGGAAACAAACACAAAAATAATTCACAACAAACACTTCGCGACACGTTCGCGACACGTTGGCGACGGTTACACCATATGGAAACCAGGCTTAATGAAAAACAACAAACGTAATTAATATTTAAGTTTGAGATAGCGCAGTGTTCGAGTTTGCACCGAAACACTGCAAAACCTCATACGGTTTATAGGTCGTACTAGAGGATTAAATTCTTGTCGAGTTAAACCTTAAGGCATTTGGCCGGTGATTTGCATATAGCCCTTATAATAATAATTTTCAAAAATAATTTTCAAATATTATAGATTAATTACCTCACCCTCACTACACTCCCGTCACTCTTAAAGATAAGGGTCGAACCGTACCTATACTACAACTCATCTTAATATCACAGCAAGCCGCATGCAAACGTTTCCACACAAAAGCCACAGTTTTAATGCATTTGTATGAAATTTAAGCTTTATTGCAAAAGAATGTGTTACATTTCTATGAATCCCTCACTCAACTAAGAACTATACGTATGTTTTTAACTTTTCCAGATATGGTGCATAGGGGTATCAAAGCTCCATCCGCGTAGCCAAATTTTTAGCCAAACGGCCAATTGTGTTCAGTTTCTTTGCAGCATATTGCCTCAATTTTCCCGCTTAAGCCATTCTCTTCGCCAAAACCACAGCTGTTTATTTTACAACCTTTGCCATTATTCATCTGACTTGCTCCACGGCATTTTACAGCAGTTTCGTCTTCGCCACATGCTACAAACTTGCCCAAACTTTCCAACTTTCTACACTCTGATAGGAGTCAATAAGATAATAAGCCAGTCTTAAATATGAGAACGAAGAAACGGGAGAGCAGTAATGGGTAGCTATCCCTGAAGCGGGGTTGTGAAAAGGTGGAGGGACGGGGTCGGATTACCGGTTTCACGTCAAGAAAAACAGCCATTTCAGGTTTCACATGTAAAAAATAAACTAGTTCGCGAAAATTAAAAATATACGTTTTTTACTGTGAAAATTTCATTTTCGATCATAAGTATTAATAGTTTTTAATGCCTTCCCTAGCCCTATCCTATTATTACACTGAAAGCTCAGCATTAATTGAAAAACGTTTTTAAAACCAAGTACTGCATGTATTTGTTGCTTCCAAATCATTGCTCTTCATCACTTTCGCACTTCTCACTACTCTCGTCCAGTCCTTGCTCTACCGGGCTCGTATAAATTCTTGTTTACTAGACAAAAATTACCGGCAATCACATATCAACGATAAAAAAATCTGCAAAATCTCATTTGCAGAGCAGATATTGGCAATTCACAACATCAAAATAGTGCAATCATTGCATCCCTGTAGACATTGATTTAATGTTTACCCTATTTCGTTTACCACCACCTGAAGAATTTGACTGGACAACGTTCCTTTACTTCGAGAAACTTGTAAACTGTTGCACTTTTGGGAGCAATTTACTGCCAAGAAGTGCATTAACTAAATTGCGACAATTAGGGTACTTTTAGGGTATGAACAAAAAAAGGGTAGGAACCACGCCTTTATTTAACTTGCTGCCAAAGCCTGTTGTTTGTAACCACGATTTTAACTTAAGGAATCATAATTCCAAAAATCACAAAAAAGAGATCATAATTCCTTTTTAAGCTCGTCAATTCAGTAAATGTATTGCAAAAGAGTTTTTAATAAACTACTATTACGTGTGGAGGGGCATGTATTAGTAATTCATCTTCAGCTGAAATTGATGTCCCTTATAGGATGTCAATGAAGCTGTTCGCATCATTCCCCAGAATGTTACCTCGCTATTCTGTTACCTCGTGCACATAACACAAGAATATATTGTATTTTCGGAAACCAAAACCCGACGTAACTTTTAGCGAAAATATCCAAGTCTTGGATTTAAGAATGCGCTGATGAAGGAGTCAAAGAATTTATGATGCCATACCTTTGAAGCTCAATTTCTTAATGACCAAACCCTTATCTGAAAACCATGCAAGTACAAATAAGCAAATGATGAAGAAAATTTACTTTTTTCAATATTTTACAACTTAATAATAGGTTTTCAATTTTTAGTTAATAATTATAGAAACGAATTTTGACTTACTCTGTAATTCAGGCTGCTCCACTTGTGCTGAAGCTATATATAAAAAGCACAATTAAATACAATGATTATTAACATGCTCTCACGCATGTTATCATTGATTTCTAGTGAAATTTAGAGCATATTTCATTACAACTATTCGGTCAGTGCCACTGGCGTTATATTGGAACTCAATGAAAACGCAGATTGTATAATTTCAGACTTGTATTACATCAATAACCTACTACTATACTAGGGCACTCCTTCAAAAGTCCTTTATAAATAGTGTAGATCTTAGTTGAAAATAGTATGGAAATCCAATTTTCATGGTAATTACAATTTCCATACTATGGACATATAGCTAATATTGAAATAGTATGGTGATACATGTCTTCTTGACTTGAAGCTTGGAAGCAATATTTTCTCTAATCTCAATTAGTTGAGTAGCCAGTGAAATACAAGTGTGTGTATGGGCGGGGGGGGGGTAATGTATGATGTAATCAAGGAATTGTTGAATGGTTACTGCGAACGCCGAGCGGCAGTGTTGTAACGAGTCACCTACAGGTCGAGTCACGAGTCGAGTCGAGTCACTCAAAGGTCGAGTCACGAGTCGAGTCATTTCAGTTTTTGATCGAGTCGAGTCGAGTCGAGTCAGTGGCTTCACTCGAGTCGAGTCGAGTCAGCGGCTTCACTCGAGTCAAGTCGAGTCACTGATTTAAGTCGAGTCGAGTCAATTTCTAGACTTTACTTGAGCTACCCTAGCTTGCTGTCGGAAATTAGTAATCAAATTTGCGTTTTAAACTAATTACTTTAGTCATTTAAATTAATAACAGTATCTGGGCAGCTATAGGCTGTGCCAATATTATCACAGTTCCAGTCAACCACGTGAGATGTCTCATCATACCTGCTGATCGAGTGTACGTACATACAACTAGCAAAACTTGCAACTGGAGTCAGAATTAATAAAGAATAGACTTTAATTAACAACGCTTTGTAAGTTGATTTGAAATTA